ACTCCATCATGCGGCAACCAGGTCTCAAACTGCTGAACTACTGACCTTCCACAGCCTACAGTTCAGCGTCTTAACCACTTGAGCCACCGCAGCTCCTTTCATTTTACTTTTTCATGTTACTTTTTTCATGTTACTGCTTATATTACTTTGTTTGGTGTAGTGGTTAAGTGCACAAACTCTCATCTGGGAGAACCAGGTTTGATTCCCCACTCCTCCACTTGCACCTGGCTGGATGACCTTGGGCAAGCCGTAGTTCTGATAAGAGCTGTTCTTGAAAAAGAGCCAGTTTCTGTCAGAGCTCTCTCAGGTCCATCTACCTCACACAGGGTGTGTGTTGTGGGGCGGGGAAGGGAAAGGATTTTGTAAGCCACTCTGAGAAACCTTTGGGTAGTGAAGGGTGGGGTATAAATCCAATCTCTTCTTTTTAAAAATTAAATAGTTTTTTTTTATTTCCAAAATACAGCAAATTGCAACACAATAGCAACTATGTTACTTACATCAAAGACAACCCACACACATGAAGAATTGGAAACAATCGTTACAATATCACAATTGCATCTTTAAAACTTCTTAGTATAACAATTATCCATCTAATTATTCATCGTAATTATTTACTGAATTCCATTATCCTATTTAATATAACAAATAATGTACAATTGTACAAGTCTAATGTCCAATGTATTTTCTTGAAATCTCATTTTAAAAGGTTTTCCAGAAAAGTGTGCTTTTTTTCAATGCAACTATCTCTTAATTGTACTAGTTCTGCTAATTTTGCTGATTTCGAAATACCCTAAATTTTGTAAATTCAGAATTACATAGTAAGTTGTTTGCTATGGCTGCTTACCTCCAAATTCAGCAAAATCAAAATGTAAATTTGCAAAGAAATGGCAACAGATGGTCTTGTAGTGAAAATATTTGATCCTAAGACTCTTGGGCTGTGGTCAGACATGCAGTTCAATCCGCTGTTGCCCGGTCTCTAATTGATCCAGGTTATTTTGTAACAGAAAATACTGATAAGACTTATCCCTTTTAGCACTCTTCAAAGTGCTTTTACCCTGTCCTTGATCAATCAGATGCAGCAGCCAGGGAGTGTTGCCATTGGCCATTAAAAAAACAAACCATTTGTCCTCTGAGCATGCTCACAAGTGCTGATGAGCCTTCTGGGATATGTAGTTCACTGACAGCCTCCCTCTCTAAACTGTTCAATTAACCCTTTCCCCAAAGCATAGAAAAAGCTGAAGTACAGTGCAATGTTCCCCCGAAGCTGTGGAGTCTTGTGAGCAAAAATTCTACTTTGTCAGCTACCGGCATTAAAGTTGTGAGTGAGCCATTTGGCTGCTGCACAAATTAGTTTGACCTGGAGCCATCCTTCCTGAACAAAGCCAAACGTGGGTGAGCCGGAGGCTGGAAAATGGTGAGCTAGCTCACACTGATACAGAGGCATATTTCTTGGAAAGTTTTCATAAAGAAAACAAAGTTTTGAGCAGCCCCTGTGGGCAAGGGGGAGAGAGAGAGAGAGAGGTGAATATGCAGTTATGCGCACATTGCTAACAAGTGACAAAATGGTGGCTTGGGTGCACAACAGAGTGATCAGACACTAGGAAATCAATTTTGGAATCAGCTCAGACCAACAGGTATCAAAGAAACACACAGTAAAGGGTTGGACAGATGGAGACGACTGGGGCATGACAGACAGATGTTGCTATCTGATTGTGCATCTTATTTATTTATTTATTTATTTATTTAATTACATTGATACCCCACCCACCCCGTGAACAGGCTCGGGGCGGTTCACATTGTGACCATTACAATCTACACCACTGGGACCATCAAAATCTACATCAAACCATTTAACCAGTTCAATTACAATAAAATAATACAGTTTTAAATCCATAAAGGAATGGATCAATGGATCAAACTGCACGTCTGATCACATCCCAGGCTTGAAGAAATTGATCGAATTACAGGGATAATCATTCCCTCTAGATTGTAAAATCATATTATTGGGCCTTTTTGTAAACTGCATTGAGAATGGACAGAGAAAGCAGGAGAAAAATATTTAAGAAACGATAAACAAAATGCCAGGTTGAGTGCTTGCTCTTAAAAATAAGCGGAGACAACCTTTAAGAGATAATTTTTGAAGATTTTTTCACAGTATGTTTCTAGAATTGCCAAATATAGCAAAGTAATAGGACTTGGGTGTCAAACATGTGGCCTGGGGGCCGGATCAGGCCCCCAGAGGGCTTCCATCAGGCCCACAGTGGAACTGGCCACCTCCTGCCTCCAGTTCTGCTGATGCTGCTGCATCATAGCTTGCTTCGCCAGACTTTCTTAATCACTCAGCCATTTCATGTTTCAACCTGGGTCCTAGACTCAGAACTCCGAGCATGAGATTTCCGTGGTGAATGTCAATAAATCAAAAGTAGGTTTGCAGTTTACAGAACTAATGTTTTAAGCATGTTTTTATTTTAAGTTTAAAAAAACCCTTTGTGTTTGTGTCCTTCATAAACTTTATATCTCTGCTACCTGGCGTTACATTTTATGACACACATGGCCCAGCCCAACAAGGTCTCATTTATGTCAGATCCGGCCCTCATAAGAAATGAGTTTGACACCCCTGGAATAGGGAATAGAATGACAGATTCTTACAAGAGGATAGTTTCAGAGGGTAGCCACGCTGGGCTGCAGTAGAACAGCTAGATCCAGCAGGTCAGTTCAAGTCCACCAGCACCTTGGAGACCAATCGTAGATACTTAGTGAAGAAGGATTTCACTCTCGGCAGCGTATACCCTGAGAATATTGTTGGTTTCTCAGACACTACTAGACTTGAATCTAGCTGTTGTTGTTCAATTGCACAGTCAAGTCTGGCTCTTCGTGACCCCATGGACCACATCACGCCAGGCCCTCCTGTCTTCCGTCATGCTCCGGAGTTTGTTCAATTTCATGTTTGTTGCATCGATAACACTAACCATCTCATCCTTTGCTGCCCCCTTCTTCTTTGACCTTCAATCTTTACTAGCATCATGGTCTTCTCCAGTGAGAGCTCCCTTATCACTTGGTGGCCAAAGTACTTCAGCTTCAGTATCTGGCCTTCCAGGGAACAGTCAGGGTTGATTTATTTTAGGATTGACTGATTTGATCTCCCTGCAGTCCATGGGACTCTCAAGAGTCTTCTCCAGCATCATAATTCAAAAGAATCTATTCTTCGGTGATCGGCCTTCCTTATAGTCCAACTCTCGCAGCCATACATTACTACAGGGAATACCATCACTTTGATCATATGGACTTTTGTTGGCAGGGTCTCTACTTTTTATTATGCTGTCTAGTTTTGCCATTGCTTTCCTCCCAAGGAGCAGGTGTCTTTTAATTTCATGGCTGCAGTCACCGTCTGCAGTGATCTTGGATCCCAGGAACGTGGAGTCTGTCACTGCTTCCACGACTTCCCCTTCCATTTGCCAAGGTCGGGCCAGATGCCATGATCTTAGTTGTTGTTGTTTTTTATGTTGAGTTTCAAGCCAACCTTTGCGCTGTCCTCTTTCACCCTTAGCAGACCAACATGACTACCCTCAGAATCTAGATTTGAGTCCAGTTGAACTTTGGAGGCCAACAAATTTCAGGATACAAGCTGCTGAATCAAAGCTCTTGTATCTGATGAAGAGAACTTTGAGTCTCGAAAGCTTATACTCTCAAAATCTGGTTGGTCTCTAAGGTGCTGCGTGACTCAAATCTAGATTCTAACATGGTCAGTCTAGAGATTCTGAAACTGACATGATAACTGAGGGGAACCTCCACATTCAGAGGCATGAAACCTCTGAATCCCAGGGGCAGGAGAAGACATCAGGGGAAGACTTTGTCCTCTCTGCCCTGTTGTTGGTCCTCCTGAGGAACTGGTTGGCCACTGTGTGAGACAGAAGGCTGCACTGGATAGACCCTCATTGGTTTGATCCAGCAGGGTTCTTCTGATTTTCTTCTCAAGGGAAGGCCTTGGTGTCTATGCCCTGTTGCTGGCCCTCTAGGGGAACTGGTTGGCCGCTGTGTAACACAGGATGCTGGACTGGATGGACCCTCACTGGTCTGACTCAGCAGGGCTCTTCTGATGTTCCTCTCAGGGGACGACTCGGCCTCTTTGTCCTGTTGTTGGCCCTCCAGAGTAACTGGTTAGCCACTGTGTGGGACAGGATGCTGGACTAGATGGACCACTAGTCTGATCCAGCAGGGCTCTTCTGATGTTCTTATGAAGGCCTCGGCCTCTCTGTCCTGTTGTTGGCCCTCCAGAGGAACTGGTTGAGGCCACTGTGTGAGACAGGATGCTGGACTAGATGGACCACTGGTCTGATCCAGCAGGGCTCTTCTGATGTTCTTCTCAGAGGAGGGCCTCAATCTCTATGCCCTGCTCTTGGCTCTCCAGGGGAACTGGTTGGCCACTGTGTGGGACAGGATGCTGGACTAGATGGGCCACTAGTCTGACCCAGCAGGGCTCTTCTGATGTTCTTATGAAGGCCTTGGCCTCTCTGTCCTGTTGTTGGCCCTCCAGAGGAACTGGTTGACCACTGTGTGAGACAGGATGTTGGACTAGATGGACCATTGGTCTGATCCAGCAGGGCTGTTTTCATGTCCTCATGTTCTGGGAATGTGTCCATTCCCAGTGATAAAATCAGCAGATAAGAATTCCCTTAACATTCCTAATTCTCACACAGATGAAAGTCAAACTGTGTTAAATGGCTAGCATGTTTTTGTTCACAGGATTGTTGTTTACTCAGTAAAAACCTGCTGCACAGAACTAATTGGAAAACAAATTTTTCAAGGAGTTTAATCATTACAGTGAGTTGATGACTGTGTCACTCCTTCGTTAAAAAACCTTTAAAGCTACAAAATTAATTTTAGATTTGATTAAACCAAAAGGTTTCAAAGCCGATTAATTCAGATCTTGCGGGTGAAGAGGAATCTCTGAATGAAAAAAAAGAATGCCATGAAGTCAGTATAAAAGCCATTGTACCTCTCCAGTTTTTTCAGTTTCATCTCTCTCACTCTCTTCGACTTCTCCGCGAAACAGGTAAGCTTGGCTAATGCCGAATCGAACCATACCGACTGAAAGAAATCTGTACAGACAGACTTTGTATGCAAGACCTAATATTTTTTCATACTGATGTTCTTTGCTGAAAAATCTCTCGATGGAATTAGTCCACATAGAGCATCAGTTCTTACTTCAATTCCTAATGTTGTATAATAAGGAATGGCAACTGAATCAGTTCAAGTGTGTAATGTAAACAGGTGTAAAAGGCAGCATTATGATGAGAAATCCATATGAATTTGGAATTTCTAAAGTCTTCCCAGTGTAGAATTCTCAAACAACATTGGGAATTGGGAGAGCCAGTTTGGGAATTGGGAGAGCCAGTTTGGTGTAGTGGTTAAGGGTGTGGACTCTAATCTGGGAGAACCGGGTTTGATTCCCCACTCCTCCACTTGCACCTGCTGATGTTGACCTTGGGTCAGTCACAAGCTCTGGCACAGCTGTTCCTGAAAGAGCAGTTTGTGTCAGAGTTCTCTCAGCCCCACCCACCTCACAGGGTGTCTGTTGTGAGGAGGGGAAGGGAAAGGAGTTTGTAAGCCGCTCTGAGACTCCAAGTGAAGGGCGGGGTATAAATCCAATCTCTTCTCTTCTTCTTCTTCTGGGAATTACAGTTCCATGAGAATAGACCTTAATTCCTTTCACCTTCATGAAACTTAATAATTCTCTTAATAATGTTGGAGTTAAACTCATACAAAGGAATGTACTTTTACTGTACAAATTTCCACGAAGTGTATGGGAAAAATATGGTTCAGGTTACTGATATTATTTCTTTTTTTTTCTTTGTTCTTTGCACCTCTGTTACTCTGATGTGGCTTACAATAGGCCAGCCTGTGAGATTTTCTGTCACCTTTCACAATTCACTGCCAGAGGGTGTAGTGATGGCCACAGGCATAAACAGTTCTAACAAGGGATGAGAAATAGAAAAGAACAAAGAGTTCAATAGCATGCCAAAGACTAATAAAAATTGCAGAAGGGTATGAGCTTTCTTGAGTCACTGCTCACTTGTTCAGATACAGGGATGAGGAGGAAAGGTCTGCCAGTGCATAGCAGCCATGCATTATTGACTAAAGGGGACCTCTGAGTTTAGATGAAGTAAACCTCTGAATCCAGTGTTAAGAAGAAAAACTAGGGGAAGTCTTTAGAACTCTTTGGCCTGTTTGGTGTAGTGGTTAAGTGTGCAGACTCTAATCCAGGAGAGCCGGGTTCGATTCCCCACGCCTCCACTTGCACTGCTGGATGACCTTGGGCAAGCCACAGTTCTCTCAGAGATGTTCTTGAAAGGACAGTTCTTGAAAGAGCTCTCTCAGCCCCACCCATCTCACAGGGTGTCTGTTGTGGGGAGGGGAAGGGAAAGGAGCTTGTAACCCACTCTGAGAAAACTTTGGGTAGTGAAGGGTGGAGTATAAATCCAACCTCCTCCTCCTCCTCTTTCTTTTGTTGGCTCTCCAGAGTACCTGGTTGGGCTGGATATTCTACTTGAAGGATCACTGGTCTGATCCATCCATTCAATCTTTTTAGTCCAGTTTTCCCCCCATTCTGCACTAAAACCGAGGTTCAGCCTTCTTTTTATTCCACACACAAACACACCCGTTCTGAATCACGTTACCTCCCTTCAGTGATCAACCCAATTTCAGCCTGCTGTTGCCTCAGGTTATTTGGATGCTGCTTTGTTGTGGACTTAAATTGTCTCGACTCAAACACTGAGAAAATCCAGAGTGGCAGGCAAATGTGGAAAGTTACAGGGCTCTTTTTGTAGCAGGAACTCCTTTACCTATTAGGCGACACATCCCTAATGTAGCCAATCCTCCAAGAGCTTACAGAGCTCTTCTTACGGGGGCTACTACATGGCTCTTTTTGTAGCAGGAGATCCTTTGCACATTAGGCAACACACCCCTAATGTGGCCAATCCTCCAAGAGTTTGCAGTCGCCCCTGCAAGAAGCGCTCTGTAAGGTCTTGGAGGATTGGCTACATTAGGGGCGTGTTGCCTAATAGGCAAAGGAGTTCCTGCTACAAAAAGAGCCCTCTTCTGTAAAACTAGTCCCTTGAAAGGTCATGAATTTTCAATTTTTCCTGAATTGGATTCCACTACTTCTCTTATAAATATTTCGTGTTCTATCTTTCAGAAAGTATTAATGGGTATTATTATTTATTACTGTTGTTGTTGTTATTATTATTATTATTATTAGTATTGATGTGCTCTCATACGGAGTCTCACAGTACTTCTTGTGCATATTATTTTCAACTTGCCTGTATTCTTGCAGACTCATCATCCATCACTCAGGCATGACTTAGTATGGACCAGCATGGTGCTAGAGGCAACCTCAGGGGAAGGTCTTGACCTATGTGACTAACTGTTGGCCCTCCAGAGTAACTCAGTGGTAGAGCCGAAGGTCCCACGTTCAATCCCCACTCTCTCCAGTTAAAAGATCCGGCATTAGGTGATGTGAAAGACCTCTGCCTGAGACCTTGGAGAGCCACCGCCAGGATGGGTAGACCAATACTGACTTTGATGGACCAAGGGTCTGGTTCAGTATAAGGCAGTTTCCTGTGTCCATGTGGTCACGGTGTGAGACAGGATGCTCTAATAGATGGAGCATTGTTCTGACCCAGCATGGCTCTTCTTGTGTTGTTCTTATGGAACCTAGAGGAGATTCTACCAGCTAGAATTTTAGTCTGGCTTGTACAATATGTGGCCTAATATGTATTGCTCAGCATGCTAATGTTGCATGAAACTAGTTCCTTGAAAGGTCATGAATTGGCCATGGGTGCCTAACTCCCCCTCCATTTTTCTTCCATTGGATTGCACTGCTTCTCCTGTATACATTCTATGGAGGGTAGATGGTGGATTAAATCTGTAGTATTTTGTAATAGATGTGCTTCACACTGACTTGCACAGTACTTGTTTTGCAAAATATTCCTTCCTTCCTTCCTTCCTTCCTTCCTTCCTTCCTTCCTTCCTTCCTTCCTTCCTTCCTTCCTTCCTTCCTTCCTTCCTTCCTTCCTTCCTTCCTTCATCTCCCACCCCTTATCCAGCCAAGTAGGGCTCAAGGCAGCTTCCAACCATTGTTCCCTCTAAGCTGAGTTAGTGTGAGCTAGCTTACAGTTTTTTAGTCTCCAGCTCACACATTTTTGCCTTAGCTCAGGAAAAAATGGCTCCGGAGCAAACCGATTCATGCAGTAGCCAGATCTATCACTCACTAATTCAATGTCAGTTAACGAAGTAGAATGTTTGCTCACAAGACACCACAGCTTAGAGGGAGCATCGCTTCCAGCAATCAAGTAGACAACAAAATCAGGATCACAGTTTTAAAATCCAGTTTTTCAAGATAAAAGGCCTAACAATCAAACTATGATTTCTGCTCTCTTGTATTCTTGCAGACTCACCCTTGACCACTCAAACATGACTCACGGTGGACCACACTATGCCTGTGCCTCTGCTCCAGGCATTGGCTTCGGATCAGCAGGTCTTGGCTATGGCGGCCACCACTCTGGCACATTGATCGGATCCGGGTCACCATCCTTTGCCGTTCCCTCCTGTGCCTCTGCTCCCATCGTCGGCTTTGGATCTGCAGGTCTTGGCCATGGTTTTGATTCTGGGGTACCCTCCGCTAGCCTGGGCATCCTCTCAGGGGTCAATCCTTCCTGCATCAACCAGATCCCACCCGCAGAAGTCATGGTCCAGCCACCCCCTGTCGTTCTGACCCTCCCCGGACCCATCCTCTCTGCTACCGGTCAACCAGTCTTTGTGGGAGGCAACACTCCTTGCGCTGTTAGTTATGGTGGATCCGGCCATGGGCTTTCCGGAGGCAGTGCTCTTTACGGTGGATCCGGCCGTGGGCTTTCCGGAGGCAGTGCTCTTTATGGTGGATTCGGCAGAGGGCTCTCTGGAGGTAGTTTTGGTGCTCTTGGAGGCCATTTGGGAAGCTTTGGGGGCCGCAGAGGCAGTCTCATCCTGGGGCGCCGAGGCAGTACCTGCCTGGCCCCTCACTAAATTCTCAAGGACTGTGTCAATCAAATTCGGAGCAACCCCCTGATGTAATAGCCTGGACTGCACAATGATCGGTTGAACACCCTCCACGTGCGGAGTGCTCTCCAGCTTGGGAGATCTCAGTGTCTCTTCGTCTCGGGGCCAGACATAGTTTCCTGTCTCTTTGTCTATGGAAGACGTCCCATTCTGTAAATGCTTTGCCCCATTTAAAACCTGCCTCTTTGTGAAAATTGTTCAGATGAATAATTTTTTCTGTTTCCTAATAAAACTTACTTTGCATCATGATATTGAGAGTCTGTCCTTGATTCAACCTAAGAATGTATCGGAAAAGGAACAACCTAGTCCTGGATTCTCTTTTTAAGAGCTGTCCACCGTCGCTGGTTTAAAAGCTTTTGGCAAAGGGAGCTTGCAAAATTCATCAAACCATGCATCAAAATCAGCAACACACACAAAGGAGTGAGGCGGACGCTTTAGCTTTCTATCCCCACTCCTCACGGTCTTCCTTCCACTTATATTCATGGTAAAACATGCTCCACTCATGTCTACACACACACACACACACACACACACAAAACACACAGCCATTATCAGAATAGTTTGCTAGTCTTGTGCAAAGCAGCCATATAGAGTCAGTTGCTCTCGGATGGGCTTTGTTAATGGCTCTGCTGTCACAGTGCTGAGGAATCCAACCTCCTAGTTTCTTATAGCCACAGTACTGGGGGGGGGGGATGCAGTCACCTTTCCCCACTCTTCAAGGTTGTCCTGCCCCTGCTTCTTAGAACAAACAAGGACACTCTTCATAAATGAAGCTGGGCCCAATCCCCATGGAGTGGTACTCTGTTTTCCCCTGTGCCCACTAGATACTGTAACTGCTGTGAAAATCTGGTGGGAAGATTAATAGGGAAATACCTGAGATTCCAAGGTGGAGGGGGGTGATCCTTGGACTGTTTTAGCATATTGACACAGAACCAAGAGTGAATGATGGGTTTAAGCATCCTCCTGATGACCCATCCTGGGTGCATCAGATCATAGACTTTATCAATGACAGGACTGGATGAGGGATACTTAAGGGTTGCCCGACTGCTTATAGCTGGAAATGGTTCACATTGCCTTGATGAAGTATCCCTTGGAGCAAAGGGTATATTGTGTTAGGGATACCCTTGGAGCTTAGCATTGAAAGGGTTTTTGTTGCTGTTGTTGTTCTTGAGAACGGATATGCCACTTGAGCTGGGGCAGATTGCCCAATTCCTGCACATCCTTCCTCTTATCTGGGATACTCCAGTGTCATGGCTTTAACAATGTGCATTTATGAGATTATGAGATTTATGACATAAAGGAGTGAGGCGGACGCTTTAGCATTCTATCCCCACTCCTCACAGTCTTTCTTCCATATTCCTTTACCATATTCATGGTAAAACATGCTCCACTCATGTCTACACACAAACACACACACACAGAAAACACACAGCCATTATCAGAATAGTTTGCTAGTCTTGCACAGAGCAGCCTTATAGAGTCAGTTTCTCTAGGCTGGGCTTTGTTTAGGGTTCAGCTGTCACAGTGATGGGGCATCCAACTGCTCTGGGGAGGGAGCTGGATCCAATCCCAATGGACTCTAATCTGGGAGAACCGGGTTTGATTCCCCACTCCTCCACTTGCACCTGGCTGGATGACCTTGGGCAAGCCATAACTCTGGCACAGCTGTTCTTGAAAAAGAGCAGTTTCTGTCAAGAGTTCTCTCAGCCCCACCTACCTCACAGGGCGTCTGTTGTGGGGTGGGGAAGGGAAAGGAGTTTGTGAGCTGCTCTGAGACACCTTTGGGTAGTGAAGGGTGGGGTATAAATCCAATCTCTTCTTCTTCTACTACTCTGTTTGCCACTGTGCCCACTGGATAAGGGATACTTAAGGGTTGCCCGACTGCTTATAGCTGGAAATGGTTCACATTGCCTTGATGAAGTATCCCTTGGAGCTTAGCATTGAAAGGGTTTTGTTGTTGTTGTTCTTGAGAATGGATATGCCACTTGAGCTGGGGGAGATTGCCCAATTCCTGCACATCCTTCCTCTTATCTGGGATACTCCAGTGTCATGTCTGTAACAATGTGCATTTATGAGATCCCCTGGCAATTAGGCCCTAAAAGGGGGTGCCTATTAAAACAACCAAATCCAAAATAAGAGGGCGGACCCCTCTAACCAAGGGGATCTCAGATAATGGAAGAAGTGGGTTTCTTACAATACTTTAATCTAGATGGAAGAGGGAAAAGATATTGGATTAATACACTACCCAAAGGAGTCTGAGAGTGGCTTACAATCTCCCCCCCACAACAGACACCCTGTGAGGTAGGTGGGGCTGAGAGAGCTCTTTTGAGAACTGCTCATGAGAGAATAGCTCTGGAATAGCTTGAAACTGAACCAGGGTCACACCAGCAGCTGCATGTGGAGGAGTAGGAAATCAAACCCCGTTCTCACATATTAGAGTCTGTGTCCTAACCACGACACCAAACTGGCTTTCATCACAAGTCCCAATCCAGTGTGATCCTTATGGGAAGCTACAAATGCAGCATGACCTACAGCAGAAGAAAGAAATGATGAGACAGCCTAAGTAGAAGCAATTAGAGTAGAATCATGGAGTTGGAAGGGATCTCCAGGGTCATCTAGTCCAACCCCCTGCACAATGCAGGAAACGCACAAATAACCCCCCCACACACCCCCAGTGACTGCTGTTCCATGCCCAGAAGGTGACAAAAACCCTCCAAGATCCCTGCCCAAATGGGCATGGAGAAAAATGTTTTCTGACCCCAAAATGCTGATCAGCATTTCCCCGGGCATGTAAGAAAGGGCAATAAGAACTAAGCAGTGATACAAGCATGCCTGCTCTCTCTGCGTGTAAGAAAGGGCCACGAGAACTAAGCACTGAGGCAACCCTTCCTGACATTGCTGTCAGGTGGACATCTAGCCTCTGCTTAGAAACCTCCCGAGGAAGCCTGTGCCACTGAGGAGCCGCTCTGACTGTCAGGAAGTTCCTCCTAATGTTTAGCCGAAAACTCTTCTGATTTAATTTCAACCCATTCTGTCTGGTCCGACCTTCTGGGGCCACATAAAACAACTCCACACCATCCTCCATGTGACAGCCCTTCAAGTACTTGAAGAGGGTTATATCACCTGTCAGTCGTCTCCTCTCCACATACTATGAAAAGACACAGTCTCAGGGGGGGAAATGAGGATTCAGTGGCTCCCTATGTCATGATTGTAGATGGAGTTCAGCATGAATCTCCTCTCTCTTCCATCAGATACAAGGAAAGGCTGGAAAAATAGGGGAAATCATTTTGCAATGCTCAGCCCCAAGGATTTTAATATATGGTTTTGTGATTAATCCTCTTTTCATATCAAAGGAACCCCTGCATATACAGCCTCTACACTGGAGACAAGCTGATTCTTAAAGGAATGGACTATCCCCACCAATGATACCTCTAAGCTGTGGAGTTTTCTGACCCAAAATTCTACTTTGTGAACCAAAAGATCTATTAGGATTAATGTTGTGTGCAAGCCTACATTAAAAAAAAAAACTAGAGAGAGAGAGATGGATAAATAAATAGATGAAGACAGATGAGTGGGAAAAATAAAGGAGGGAGGGAGGGAGGGAGGGAGGGAGGGA